GATAGATAGATAGATAGATAGCAATTTCAGGTATAAGAATTAAACTATGATTATGAGGGTTGATTGCTTATGTTGCCAGCACTGTCAATCAAAACTGATGAAACCAAAACCACTCAGTCCAGTCTAGTTATTGAGTGTTACATGGAGCTTCCAGAAGGTGGGGAAACAGCTAGTCTGACTCTCTCCAAATATCAAAAACACACTTACTGACACCTCTAAATGTTGCTAATTAGTATGTTAGAAGTAATTTCTTTATTCCCTACACAAACTGAAATGTAAAAACAATATTGGTGTATGAATAAAAAGTCAAGAGACATGTCTATTTGTGAGCTTTAGAGGTGATGGTATGCTGGAAAACATACAGGAATTCAGTGGAATCAACTCACTAATTAACTTAATGAAATATACAAGTTCTGGAACGTAATTGAGCTAGTTTTACATTTTCACAACCCATTAGCCCACTTTGGATTCATTTTTTCAAGTCTACTTCCATTAACCTGGATTTTGAAGGCAGCATGGAAACCTTCAAAACAATGTTTTAACTAGCATTAAATGATTTGCAGTGCATATATTTGTGAACTTTACATGGGCCCGTGCTACTTGTTTTCACTTTGCTTACAGTCTTTATGAAAAGCTAATCACCTCCTGGCCCCATCTCCATTCTTAATGCACTGACATGAGAGCTGATGACAGCATTTCCCAAAATGTCTAACCATTATATGATTAGGCCATTTAATGAGGTGACCTATTTGGTTAGAGCCTGAATAAGTGGAAGTAGAGTGCGAGCGATCAATACAAGAAATCTGAGGGTAAACAATTATAGAAACACTTAACTTTCATTCATGAAACCCCCTCTCCCTTTCTTACACTGTGCCAGTCTTAATATCCCTCACTGCTCCTCTCCTTGCCTACATCCCTATGAGGACACTGTGAAGCAGTAACTGCTTGATTTATCCATAGTGAGTAGACTAATATTGAATGTTCTTGTTTTCAATCTGAGGAGTCTGCGCTGAACACTAGTTTCCACTTTCCAGCAGTCTACCGTTCCAGACAGCTCCCTGGGGCAATATCACCTTATCATATTCTGTCTGCTATTCCATTATGGCTCTTTCCTCGAGCTCTAAATCTGTTTATGAAGGACGACAATGACAGGTCTTATCAGGAGACAGACTGTTATAATTGTTTCAGCATTTCAGTGTCACGTGGTGCAACTATTTGAAATATAGCTTGGCTGTAAAAATAATGTACTTTCTCTAAACCAATTCTCAGCTTTAGTCACAGTTGGGAATTGATTTTATTACCATAAAACAAACTGAGAAAAAAAAAGGAAACATAACAGTGAAATCCATGGAAAGAATGTCACCGCTGTGTCAGGCCTCTCTCTGTCTCTTCAGTTCAATTGATTTGAGCTTTACTGGCATGAAGTTTGGATCAAAAAACATGCCAAAGCATGTTCATAAATAAAGTTAAGTAAAGAGTGCAAATACATAAAAAAAACTGACAGTAAGTTGACTGAAATAAATAGTTATTCATGTCAATAAACACTTGATAACATTAACAAACTTCAGGAATAAGCAGCTATGTATATGGCTGAAAACATTTGTTGATTCATTCATTGAAAACTAACTATTTTGATATATATTTTTCAAAAGGCAAAAGATTCTCTGGTTCCAGCTTCATAAATGTGATGATGTTTGTGATCAATCAGTGTGCGTCCATTGATTTGTAGCCCTTAATGCAAATCAATCAGTGTGCTCCAGTCCCATTTCCCCTTCTATCTTTGGTTGGTTGGACAAAACAATTGATTTCGAAGACGTGACCTAAGTTTCAACTAAAGTGAATTGTAGTTTTTTCATTGAGTTTTCACATATTAGATGGAAAAATAATCAGAAGATTAATTGAATGCATGAGTAGTTAATTGCAGACCTATATGTATTCCCCTGCCAGTTCTGCCAAACAGTTTCACCAAAAAGAGTTGGAAATAGCTCCTCTCTTGGAATTAAAGAAATAATTATATTTTGGGAATTATTTTGGGTAAAATTTGTCAATGTGTATCCTGGTACTAGGGATGCACAGACCACTTTATTTTAGACCAAACACAATTACAAGTATTTACATTTGTGTACTTGCTAAGTTCGAGTGATATGAGTGCTTAGTAATACCATTACAGTTCTAACAGTGACTTTGAAAACATGTTTAATTGTCATCAGATGTTCCTCACTTTCCGACTGCAACAAATGAAATGCTGCTAATGTTGTTGAAAACATGATTGACTGATTGTGTAATCACAATGTACCCCCGGTTTAAGTCAGACCATGGACCTTTGTTACATGCCATCCCTCGTCTCTCCCCTTATTTTCACCTCTCTACTTTCTACTATCAGAAAATAAAGGTGAAAATACCCAAAAAGTATTTTTCTTTCTCTCCCACCATCTTTAGAAGAAGACATCATTTACATTTCCCTGTTGACAATGTAGCCAGGTGTGTAGCTTATCATCTTTTGATTTGAAGATACAAGGTGTATTGTTGCTGCACACAGAGTGAATGAGCAATAAGCAACTTACTATACAGCAGTAAGAGTCCCATGGCTATCTTTTTGGCTACCGTTTCAGGCTCCTCTGAAAATACAGAGGCTGCTGACTGGAACTCTTATGAGGCTGTTTACAACAGAAACTCCTGGAGGATCAATGTAAATCACAGTAGAAAAAGTGGAATAGAGTAAGCAAATGCAACAGTAATCACCACAATTCATTGTACTCTGTTTTCCCTGCCAACTGGCACACTTTTCAACAGTGCTCTGCTGCTCTGATGCCTCGGGGAAGATCTGGTAGAAGCTGTTGTTGCTCTGTACGATTAGTGATTGTGATCATGCCGATGTTTTGCCACTGTAAAATCTGAAATATTCTGTTTTATCCACCCCAAAACACAGACAGCAACCAGAAACCAACCAGTGTGTCCTTATTACTGAGGATGCAGAGAAAAGACAGGTTATCACTTAACATGCAGCTTGCCCTGCACGCCTCTCTGACGCCATCCTAATTTAGTCAGCAATACTTAACGCCATTCGTCCGGAGTGCACTGGAGCAGGAAACACTGGCCCTCAGTGTATTTACTGCTGTGTATTACAGCTTCCTGGTGACAGTTCAGAATTGAACTGAATTATGAAGCAGTGAGCTACATTATAGCAAAGTGACATTTTGATAAATGTAAAGTAGAGAGGAAATGAGATGGTTTTGGATAGCGGGCATAAATCTTAATGAGCCAGCCAATTTATTCCAACTGCTTGGACAGCCACAGGGAGACAGAGAGGGCGTCTCACTGTTGTATTTATTTGTTTGTTTGCCAGTCTGTCTGCCTATTGGTCCGTCTGCATGTTTGTCTGTCTTTCTGTTTACCATTCATTATTAATTTATGCTAATGGCTGTTACACTGTGTCTAACAAAAACACATCTGGTCTCACTGTGCTCTTTATGTTTGTGTGTTTATAAGCTATAACATATCCCTGATGCCCAATGTTAGCCATCATTAACCATCTTTAGTTCTTCTGTGTCTCAGCCAGCTTGTTTCCCTCATGATGCGACATGTATCACTGTTAAAGAGAGGCTCGGGACAGATGGGATCAGGTTGCCAAATGGGGGACAAGTATGAAGAGCCTCAGAGAATAAAGTCTCGAGCTATGGAGATAATACATCTAAATCTTTAGGTTTTATCTCTGCTCCCTTCGTTAGCGCTTCTTTTCTCTTCTCTTCTCTTCTTCTTGAGCCAACAGCTGACTGTGGAGGAGCATGCTGTGGCTCAGGGTGGATGCTCCAAGCTATTGATCTAAATTACACTGTCTGCCGACTGCAAACTCCTTGGAGAGTGTGAGGGAGGGACGGGGTAGTGTGAAAGAGAGAGAGAGATGGAGGAGAGAAAGACAAAGAGCATGCAATTGAAAAAGGCAAATAATCGCCTCTGAAAAAAAATCTAGCAGGGGCAGAATTGGGGCGACATATGAGAATAGCTGTGATAAATAACAATGGAGAGAGAGGAAAATAGAAAAGGCAGAAATAAGGGGGCAGCCAGGCAGGCAGCCAGGGGAAAAAAGAGAGCAAGAGACAGAAACATGCAGTGACAGCACTGTGATTGAGCCAGAGGATGGCTTTTTTTTCAGTATTGACTGTATCACTGGATTATCATAGCTCAATCTAATCTCTGCTCCGTTACAAACCGAGCAGTGTTTATTTTCTTTCCCGGCTACCCAGAGTTCTTTGAGCTGTTTGTTGACTATCGGCTCGGGTCTGGCGGAGAGATGTGACAGATGTCACTCAAGGAGTTGATGTCAGACTGATGGCTTCTGCAGATAACACCTATCTCCTGCTGACAGATAGACAATACCACCAGGGAATTAATACTTGTCCACCCCTTTCCCAACAAGAGACAAGTGGACAATATTCTGTTTTTATTGTAGGAGGGTAGAGAGCGAGAGAAAGAGGGATTAAGGATGTGGAGGATGGAAGGAAGCAGAGAGAAAGGTATAAACAATGTCTACTCCATTTCCTAGTAAGAATACCCGCAGAAACCCAGGATTTTTAGCATGTGGGTGCCTGTGTACTGAATGAAGGATGTCTTCTTCATGCAACTGTTGCAGCTACCTGGAAATACTCATCTCCAACTTTGAAATGTTGCTATTACTGTTATGTAATTGGATCAATTCTTTCACCACAGGAATTTAGTCTAACAATTTAAGTAACTCGGACTAAAATGGCAGCTTGTGGTCTATGGGGGTTAAGGCGCTGACCACCACAACATCCCTGCTTTGTTTCATGTCATTCCCCATTTATCTCTCATTTCCTGTCATCTTTAATGTCAATGATCTAAAAAAGTCATAACATGCTGCCCAAAATACTAAAAAACTAATAAAATGAAGCGTGAAAGTGGCAAAATCTTTTCTAGAATAAGTATCAACAAAGCAAAGTGTATAATCTTTAAATATATTCCTATAAATACCCTCCAAATCCTGACCTCCCATTTTGCTCTCATATTCTACGCCCCTCTCCCCACCCCTTTTCTATCACTCATTCCTTACTCTCCATCCTAGGAGGTCTGTCTTGCCCAAGTGCCATGGCAGATTCCCCATCAAAGCTTTTCCACAATGATACGCAATCCAAGAAACACAATATTGAATTAATTCTTTATAAATCACTTAAACATATATTGTTGATGGTGTGGTCCTTGTCAGTGAAATGTGACTTAATCAGATATGCAAGATAGAGGCTCCATTTCCTCATGGTGAAATGTGCCAAAGTTTGGATGAGATTCCTATAGCCCAGTATCAATGTTGTTAATGATGTTTTGACCTATCAGGCCCTGCGGTGGGTATAAGGTATCATACATATATATATGTCCGACTCTTGTTTTGTCCTCCATCAGGAAACAGGCCAGTGTCAAGAGGATGATAAATTGACTTAAAACTGGATGACTGGATGAGGATGACTTAAAACTGTTTCGATGGGCAGACTATCCTGTAATCCTCCCAAGCTCTGTATTTAAAATCAAACTAAGCAATCCTGTTTTTCTTAGTTACATATTCCCGAAATGTAATAATATTAAAATTACAGAAAAACCCTAAATAAAAGAAGCAAAGGAACGCTTGGTGAGCAGAGCACCACAGTACTCCAGCAGCCAGATGGCATGGTTGATGAGAGGTCTGCCATATGGTGATAATACGACGGCCTGGCAGTCCGACAACACCTCAGGTTTAACCTCGCTTACACCAACACAAACACACACACACACACATTTCCTCCCACAGTGCCCCATTCTGTGCTGGTAGAGGCCATTGGATCATGTTATGCTGTGCTAACCTACTGTGCTCCACAGAGTTCACACACAACATGTTGTTAGCATCCATCATAGATTAAAAGAGAGAGAATATGAGAGAGGATATCAAGCTGAGAGAGAAACCGAGCGATGAGAGAAAGAGACACGGTTGATTGAGGGAAAGTGGCGAAAAAGTCTGGGAAAAACAGAGAGAGAGAAAAAAAAATAAGCCAAGAGTAGACATGTTCTCCCAAATAAATCAGGCTTAAAAGTCAATCAACAACATGTACAGACCTGTAATAAATGCACTCATGCAATGAACTACACCAATTACCCAAGTTTCTTCAAAACCTGATTAGTTTTGTCGGAGATATTGCTTGAGACATATGGATAAACAAATGAACACTGTATGGAGATAATCAGCATAAGCAGAAAGAAGCATAATTCCCCAGAGTTTCCTCTAAATTGGATCAGTGGTATCTCAGAAATCGCATCTGACAAACACACAAACAAACCAGCAGATGGACGGAGACTGACTTGAAGCTCCCTCCATTTCATTGTGGGGACAAAAATGTGCAAGATATTAAATTCCTTATATAGAGACGGAATGATGGACGCTCTGGAGCCTGAGTGAGTGCATAATTACACGGTGCAGTTTAGGCGTTCAGCTGACATTTACTCAAAGCAATGAACAATGAAGGAACAGATAGACACAGCTGCAGTCTGCTAGAAAAGTCGTCCAAGAGAAGTTAGAAAATAGTTGATTAAATTCAAATATGCAAAGTTTCAGCCACCCGACATTACAGGCTTTCAACCCTTGTCCTCATGAGGTCGACTACTGCTGTTTTTTGTCCTGAAAAACTTAACTGCATTCACCACGTTCCAGGTGTAAAATAGTCCATAATTACACATTATGTCAAGAATGAAAACCAGAAGGACTGCAGAGTGTTATCAGCACCGGCCGCCACCAGCCAACAAAGTACCCTGCAAACGGCTAGCCCGCCAGATCAGCCCCAGGAATCTGGATGAAGCTAGCTAGTAGGGCACCCTGATAGTTCCCCTTGTAGAGCTGGTGCCCCTTGTACCAAGCCCTTGCTGCAGTGGCCATGGGTTTGAATCCGCTGTGTCATCCTCTCTCTCTCTCCCCCTTTCCTGTTAAAAGTAATGTTAGCTTTGACTTGTAGACTGGAAGGTCTAATTTTTTAAGTTATGTTTCAACCCAAAACAACAAACTGGCAAAAAAAGTGATGAATGCATTCAAATAACATGTACATTTTTCATAATCTGACATATGGAACCTTTAAATAGTTCTTTTTCAGTTTCTGGTAGAATAATGTTACAGGCTACCTTGTTGGTGGTAGAGCAGCAGCCGTCCTTTCTCCAACACCAGAGTGAGGCTGTGATCTCTCTGTCCCTCTGCATGGAGCAGAGTCCCAGAATTCTTCAGGGTTTTAAACTTCAGAGAGATGACCTCCATCGCCATCCAGCTCGGTCTCACACTCAGCCTGTAGATCACGCTGCTGCTGCCATCGAAGTGAGCCACGTCAGAAGCTACAGAACAGCAAAGAGAAGAAAGAGTTTTGATATGCAAACGTCAATAACAGTAATCATTGCGATTTCACCAATTTCACAGATTTTATCCTTTTAAAATACATACTACGCAACGCTTTAATGTGAAATTATACCTTATTAAGCTGAATTTCTCGTAAGTAAGGTTGAACAGTCCAACACAAACTGTCAGCTGTGTAGTAGGATTTCAAGAAACTGGACTCAAAATCATCAGATGTTTTGTGTATTTCAGTACCATTTTATCAATGTATGAATGCTGAATGTACTAATGCAACTGAATATGGAGCTATTAGTATAGACATTTTAACCTCTTGACATCCAGTCTTCCCATTAAGATCGGAAAAATCTTATTCCACAGTATCACAATTATTCTGTGTTAGCTTCTCCCAACTGTTCATGTAAAATGTTCAAACCCACCAAAAGGAAATATTGTAGGTATATTGTGCATAATTTTATACATATTTCAGCAAGGTTCAGCCTGGCATTTCTGGTACCTTTGGAATCTCTGCTAGAATTTCAAATAAACGTCTGTGAGTTCAAACAATGGCTGAAAAGTTTGTATTGAATAACGTGTTTGAGAGTGTAATGTGAAAACTGTAGCCCTGTAACAAGCACACTAACATAAGAAGTGTGAGCTTGGGAATAAGGAAATAATATTTCAAAACATACTACAACAGGAACACTCTTAACATTCAATTGATGTTTTTGATGCAGCAAAGTTTAATCTTTGAGCTGATTTTTTTGCTGTGACTTAAAATGCTGGAATTGCTTGTTTCACAGCTGATGAATTTATCATGTTCTGAAAGTTTCAGTCTTTCAACACAGTCTCACTCCCAACTCATGAAATGCTCTGTCTGCTTGGTCAGACACTGTAGGCGCGTTCTTAGCATCATTTCTGGGCACATAGGGCTCTGTGGTCAAGTTAGCAATAATAAATATGCAACATGCAATTGGTTCAAAATAATGCTTGCATGGTGAATGTTGTGAACGGTTGAAACGTTAACCATGAAACTATTTCCTAAGGTTTAACCACAGAAACTACTTGGTTGGGCGGCCCTGGTTGCTCACCTTTCAGAGCTGGTGCTCCGACCTGTGGCATGTCATCCCCTCTCTCTCTTTCTCTCTCTCTCTCTTCCCCCTTCCTGTCACTCTACAGCTGTCGCTATCCATATCAGGCAATAAAAGCCCTCAAAAAACAAAACTACTACAACACTGGTTTTTGGTTTTAAACAGGACATGAATAGTGGTCTCCTGGGTTAAAGTCCTTTGTTTGTTTGACCCATCCATCCACCCCACCTTCTCCATAAGCGGATTTTCTGGATCTTTAAGTCCGGTGGGTGCATCCATAAATGACACATAAGACTGGAGCCCTGCACATCCACGATGAGTTAAGAGTGAGACCTAGCTGTTTTCTTCAGTCCTCACTCGCCATATGAGGCAATGTGGCCAATGTAAACTGCACTAGTGCATGATAATGTTTTTATCATTTGGATGTATGGATTTTCTCTGTTTATTCCTCTTTGAAAAAAATGAGCTAATGAGCTGGAAACCCGTTGGCCCCTTAATGTACAAACCTTTCAAACAGCACAGTAAAACCATATGGTCTAGTTTTTGCTAATGACTACGGAGCAGCAAAAAAGACCAGCGAGAGTAATTAAATGTTATTTTTGTGAAGGCAGAGTTCATGTGAATCTGTAAGATAAAAATAAATATGTGTTACCAACATTATCAGTGTTTTCCTCAAAGCTCACAGGTCCAATTAAAAACTGATGTTATGTTTACCATATAAAAACTGACCCCTACCACATCGTGTGTGTCATCAAATGTGACTAAAGAATCTTGCACATTATCGACCACTTGTATGCAGTTAAATATGTTATAAGTAATATGAATATTTCTAGCAGTTGTAGGCTTATTGCAAAAATGAATGCTGTAATGTAAATCAGCCTGAGCAGGAACATTAAAAAATGTATCTTTGTATCTTTGAGTAGACATCTTTTGTTTATTTAAAGCATTAGCAATAGACAGAACTGACAAAGAAGTCAAATGTTGACAGAACACTTACTGTATCGACATCCATATATCTCCAGTCTGAGTCCGATTCTCCCAGTGGGGTTCCAGTCCAGAGGAATCAGACGGAGGTAGCGGGCTATCACCGGCTGTTTGAGTTTGTACTGGACCACTGTGTCTGCATTACTGTTACCTGGAAAAGCCTGACACAACAGGACAATGTGTTAGTTTGCTTCATTTTTACTTCTGAGCATCCCTGCTATACTGGATGCTCTAGCAGAAAAGTACTAAATTGCTCCTAGAGCACTTTAGACAGGAACAGAAGATCTTTTTTTTTTGTACTTTGATGGTCATAATAAAGATTTTTACTTGGAGAAGGTAGACTCTTGTAAAGATATGTGACCATGTTTGTAATGAAAGTTTCTTTAAAAGAAAAAAAAGAGAGGTCTCTGAGAGTAGTCTCACTGCTATTTACAATTGGGCTGTGGAGAAAAACTCTCCCTAACCTGTCTGATCCAGAGACAGCCTTCCTGCATTTTAAAACTTTGAGCTCACCGAGGCCATTGATCCTAACTGCTGATAACGTCCCTCCCTCTCTCTGTCTTGGGATCAATAACTCTGGAACCTATTCTGTCTCCGTACTAAGCCTCTCTTAAAAAGACTAATGGCCTCTATTTTCCCAATCAGCTGCCTGTGGCAATCCAGTGGGATTCTCTGGCTGACACGCAAAGAGCACACACACAGAGCAACACACACATTAACATCCGTGAGGGTTAAAAACAAGCGGCATTTGTGGTTTGTGCACGCATGTGTCTGAGTGCATGTGCTTTGCTTGTGTCTATCCTCCCTACTTGAGAGTGTGTGTCATGTACCGATGTGGCTATGTGAGTGAAATTGGCTTTCCTGCCGCTGCATAATTGTGATCTCAGTGGCGTCTTCAGTGCTTTGAAGGGCTGAGCTAGCTGGGCAGCGAAGCGTTAAGCTCAACAAACGGCTCTGTTTCCTGCTGAGGAGGCTGAGGAGAGTGGCATCTCATTTACTTCCCTGAGCATGTTTTGAAATATGAGTAGCCTCTGACAAGACCTCAGTCAAGGAGAGAGAGGAGGGGGGAGAATGAGGGGAGGAGGAGAAGGAGAGAAGGCATGAGAAAGAATCGGAGAACAGTGGTGGAAGAAGTACTTGGGTGCTTTACTTAAGTAAAAAATACCAGTGCAACCATGTAAAAATACTCCATTACAAGCAAAAGTCACAAGTAAAAGCCTGTCGCACCTGCAAATTCAAACATGGTGGGTCATGAGATGATTAATAGTTCACAAAAGAAGAAACATCAAAGTTCTTTATTTTACTTTTCTCTAATCGTTGCATTTTATTTTGTAAAATATTGGATACATTTCACCTCATTAGGCCTCTCGCAGCTATTTAAATTAAGCCACCTGCTATAATTACATATAATTATGTATATATAACTAAGAAATTATATATAAAATATATATATATATATATATATATATATATTATATATATTAATATATATATATTTTATATATATATAAAATTTCCCCAAAACAAACACACTGGCAGAGATACCTTCAATTGAGGAGGACAGTTACTGCTTTTAGGAATCAGGCTAAAGAAATCTAAAGAAGCCTAGTGGGACAAATGATTTCTAACAAGAGATATCTCAACTAAACACACAATCTATAAAGCAGTTATCAATAAAATATCATCTGATTTTTCAGCTTTGAAAAGGTGGCATGGATCTAAGCTGCATGATGAATTGAACGAGGCTTGGAGAAGAGCTCAGTCCAGTATCAGTGGACTCCCAGTAGGTTGCAGGGGATTAGTTAAAGGCCACACAGCATTTGCTGAAAATGCTTGTCTAATAAAGGGTCATAGCTACACAAGCTATGGGAATATGTTACTGTTCAAAAGTTTGGGATTGATGTATTCCAGACAATTTGTGCTGTGACAAAAGTTCGTATTAAGCCTTATCTCATTCTTTGTAATAATAGGGGGTTTTGTCTGGACTTCCTAATCAACGACATAATTAGTGTCAACGTAAATTGTGAATTAGGAGATAGCATTTTAAAAACCAATTAAAACAATAAATAAATGAATAAATTATTAAATTAAACCACCAACTCTGAAGTCTAAAGGTGAAATCAGTCTTTGGTGGAAATGCTAACAACTCATCGACATCTGAAACAAGCAGTGCTGAAAGTATTCAGATGCTTTCTTGAGTAGAAGTACAAACATCACACTGT